TCCTCCTTTATTATAAGCAAACTTCGTCAATAGCCCTACAGCAATGACTTTACAATCTGAAAATAGAGGTGCATGTACTTTTGTAACCCCAGAAAATCTTTAATAACAATAATTTTTTTTGAATGAATATTTATTAGCATTTTCAAAAAGAACAAAACATATAACAAACATAAAAATAAACAGAAAAAACAAAAAAAATACAAAAATCCCAAACTTAAAAAAGAACAATTAAAAACACCTGATAGTTCAGATACTTATTTTCTTTTAACCTGTTTCTCAGACCTCCTCACACCTCCCCTTCTTGTATTCCAATTTAAATTATTGGTTCAGCAAATCCTTAGTTTACTTCTCCATTTTAACTTAATTCAATTTATTCTGACATATTATTATTTAACTTTTCTTCTTTCCTCCATTTCCTCAATTTATATTTACAAACCTTATTTTCATTTAATTTAGACCATTTTAAAAGATCAGTTTTAACTTAATCAAATTTACACATCATTTTCCTAAAGTCGACCAAAAGTTTCGCTTCCACGTCTTTCCCCATTTCCATGCCAATAGCAAAGCAAAATAAAGATAAAATAAACAAAATAAAATAACAATAATTTTTAATAGCCACGTTAGAAACTAATATATATATAATCTAATCACCAAATGGCACCTTAAACCTAGGTGACAGTTGCCACAGTGGACAGGAGCGCCATTTGTGTGGGGCCGACGCCACCCCCCATTTTCAGTGAGGGTGCCAGGCCTATCAATATTCCACAGCCCACGTGGCAGGAGGAGGCCGGACGGGGCCTGCCGTGACTGCAACGGGCTCCATTGGATAGCAGTGGGAAAACCCGATGGAACCCGTCTCTGCAGCAAGATCCAGTCACAGCCTCAGCAGGCCTCCTCCCACCTTCTGACATCACATCTTCTGGGCACCCACAATGCTGGGTGTAACCCAACATGCCTGACAGTGGAATGTCTAGACACCATTTCCCCCGATAGTGTTTATCATCATCATCATCATGACTCCAGCCATACCTCAAGTTGTGTTTGCTTCACGTTGCCTTTTTTTCTGGTTACGAACGCGGCAAACCCAGAAGTGTTTACTTCCGGGTTCCCCACATCGCGAATGCGCAGGAGCAATATGTGCACTTCGCGCATAAGCGCTCTATCACGTCACGCGCAGAAGCAGCGCTCTACTTATGGACTTTTCGGGGTGCGAATGGCACCCCGGAACAGATCACACCCGTAAGTAGAGGTAGCACTGTATAGCACTTTATATTTTAAAGAAAAAACAGTTTACAACACATTAAAGGTAAAGGTAAAGGTACCCCTGCCCGTACGGGCCAGTCTTGCCAGACTCTAGGGTTGTGCGCTCATCTCACTCTATAGGCCGGGAGCCAGCGCTGTCCGCAGACACTTCTGGGTCACGTGGCCAGCGTGACGAAGCTGCTCTGGCTAGCCAGCACCAGCGCAGCACACGGAAACACCGTTTACCTTCCCGCTGGTAAGCGGTCCCTATTTATCTGCTTGCACCCGGAGGTGCTTTCGAACTGCTAGGTTGGCAGGCGCTGGGACTGAACGACGGGAGTGCACCCCGCCGTGGGGATTCGAACCGCCGACCATGCGATCAGCAAGTCCTAGGCACTGAGGTTTTACCCACAGCGCCACCCGCGTCCCCTTACAACACATTTAAATGTCAAATAAAGCAATCCAGAATAAAACAAATTCAAGCTTCAACAAAAGTGTTCTCTAAGTGACATTTTGCTTAATAATAATAATAAAAAATATAATAATATAATAATTATGTTATTATTAGCCCAGAGAACATCCAGAGAACTCAACATGGTCACAATTGGACCTGTGCCAGTTGCAAAACACTAATGGCCCCTGGCTAATTTCTAACACTGCCATAGGTTTCTGTGCTTTCGATTTCACGGCCGCACTAAACTATTTCCATGAAAGGGATTCACTGAAAAGAACACCCAAATATCTAAATGATATATAACTTGCTGATCTAAACTCCATTTATGCTCAAGAGAGAGAGAGAGAGAGCATTTCTCTGGCTGGTTGTCCAAAAGGAATTTCTCACCATGGGCGACCAAAACAGAAAGTATGGCGATACATTGCAGGCTAACATTATGTCCACATAAACTTCCATGGACTACAGCCTACTTCATCAGATGCACAAAGTGTAACATTCAGTTGCATCTATGCACAGGGTTTGGGGTGGGGGTGCAACTGTAAAAAGTGAGGTAAGAATGAAATTAAATGCAGAAAAGTGGAAATGGTGAAAATTACATTACTAACAATGGCCATTCACAGGAGAACAAATCACAGTTGCTCTTTTATCACACTTGGTGAGGCACTTAGCAGATGCACTGTGATATTTGTCTCTATTAAGCTGAGAAGTGATGAATTCACAGTTCTCCCTTTAAAGTTCCTCTGTTCTAGGAAGTTCAGCCACAGAATGTCCTGGAAGCTTGAAATGCTTGTCCACCGGTTTTGAAATGGCCATATCTGGTGTCAGATTTATGTCCATTGATATTTACATACAGACTGGTCTATCTGTACAATTTTTATTGATTGATTGATTGATTGATTGATTGAATTTATAGACCGCCCTATACCTTGAGGTGCTGGGGAGGTTCAATGTAAAACACAAAACGACAGTCCTAGCTCATGTTATGGCCAAGCACTCTTCATGCATTTTCACTTGTGAAGCACAAAAAGGTTTCTGAATTTGCCACACCTATCATTTAAATGTAACGCTATCACACACAATGCTGGTTCTCCGTATTGCAGCAACATTCATAGATGCAGTTACAGGTGGGTAGCCGTGTTGATCTGACATAGTCGAAACAAAATAAAAAAATTCCTTCCAGCAGCACCTTAGAGACCAACTAAGTTTGTTATTGGTATGAGCTTTCGTGTGAATGTATCCGAGGAAGTGTGCATGCATGCGAAAGCAAACCAATAACAAACTTAGTTGGTCTCTAAGGTGCTACTGGAAGGATTTTTTTTATTCATAGATGTGTACAGCTAAGCATAGGCACCAGGTCCCAGGGGCCCTGGGTGCTGTGGCTCCCCAACATTTTGAATAAGGGGGGCAGGGCACCCACAAAGTGTGTCAATGCTTCATCACAAACACACACCAGTGTGTGTGTGCTATGTCACCATGTACGCAAGTGACGTCGACACGCTGGGGGACATGATGACGTAGTGCGTGCACATGCGGGGGGGGGCGTAATTGCTTGTCCCAACCAGCCTTCAGTATATTGACGAATACAGTGCACTGCCCAAACACCTCATGATGTGCAGGCTGCATATTGAGGGAATAACTGGGACCCCTGGCAACTTTTTTGGGGGGGTTAATGCATCTCTGTGTGCATTAATATTCCATACTGGACTCCCCATCGGTGAGCAATGTCACTGTGAACGTTGCTCAGTGACAAGGACTCGATGGCAGAGGGCAGGACGTCACGCGGGATGTGGAAGCAACATCAAGCGATGTCTCCGCAAGAAAGTTGAGCAAGGTCTTAAGAGTTCACATTGGGCAAGGTCTCAGACCACCATGTCACCATTTGACCTGCTTCTAGAAGTAAGGTAAGGTAAAAGTAAAGGTAAAGGTAAAGGTACCCCTGACCATTAGGTCCAGTCGTGACCGACTCTGGGGTTGCGGCGCTCATCTCGCTTTATTGGCTGAGGGAGCTGGCGTACAGCTTCTGGATCATGTGGCCAGCATGACTAAGCTGCTTCTGGCAGACCAGAGCAGCGCACGGAAACACCGTTTACCTTCCTGCCAGAGCGGTACCTATTTATCTACTTGCACTTTGACGTACTTTCGAACTGTTAGGTTGGCAGGAGCAGGGACTGAGCAACGGGAGCTCACTCCGTCGGGGGGGGATTCGAACCACTGACCTTCTGATCGGCAATCCTAGGCTCTGTGCCCGCTAACTACCCCCCACCTTAAAGTTGAATTCACACGCTACAAGTCCTGCACTAGCCTGAAAGGAGCCACCCCCATGTCTGGCCACTTGCAAAGGAACATTTGTGTGTGTGTGTCCCCCCTATATCAAGCTACTTCATTCTCCAGAGTTTTAATGTGCTTTAAGAGATGCTGTGACCTGGGTAGAAAGCAAACTTCTGTCCCTGAACTTCGAGGGCTGGTTATTTTTTTTCTTTTTTGGGGGGGGGGGAGAAAACGACAAAACACGATAGGTGCTAAGTGTTCCTGGAGGGATTTTTTAATCTGAATTATCTTATTCCTGTAGTTCAGGCATGTCCAACAGGTAGATGTGATCTACCGGTAGATCACTGGTAGATCATTGGCTCCCCCCAAAGAAGCTGAACAACTGTGGCTCCCCTAAAAAAAGCCTCAACTTTCACCCAAAACCCCCCAAAAAGCGGGTAGATCACTGCCAGTTTTTAACTCTCTGACATCCAGGCGCCTAGGAGGAGAAGCGGGCTGGGGGCGCGGGGTTCCCCGGGCGACTCTTCCGAGGCTCTCCGCTCTTTTCCGGCTCCGCAGGGGAGAGGAGGCGGCGGCGGCGGGCGGGGATGGCGGAGGCTCCGGCGGAGCGCAGGGCTCCTCCGAGCAGCGCCACGCGAGGAGGGAGCCCGTTCCTGGGCAGCGCGCCCTGTCCAAGGCGCAACCAGGAAACCGAAGCCGGGAGCGGCGATGCCGCTTCTCCTCCCGAGCAGCAGCAGCGGCCAAGATCGTCGCTCCGCCACGGCGGGGGGAGAGACAGATGTGGCCGCAGCTGGAAGGAGGGGGAAGGGATGCGATGGTCCAAGCCCCACCCCCACCCCGGCCAGGAAGGAAGGCAGGCAGGCTGGGGGGGGGGGGGAGAAGGGCTGATCTGAATGGAGACGCCGAAGGGGGACCCCCGATGGCAGCAGCAGCGCTTCCTTTCCCGGCCTCGTCCGGGATCCGGACCCCCGGGTGGAGCTGGCCCCCGACGCCCACCCCACTTTCCTTTCCCCCCCTCCTCCGCGCGGCCGCCCACCTTGCTCCGGATCTGCCCCGACGTGGAGACCTTTCGGATGAGCTTCTGGGGCGCCTCGTGCTCGCCTTCGCTGTCCGACGACTCGTCGGCCGGCCCCGACGCCGCCTCCGCCTCGCCTCCTCCGGGGTCCCCCGGCGGCGGCGGCGGCGCCTCCACCCCGGCCATGTTCCCCCCCGGGCGAGCGAGCGAGGAGCGCACGGAAGGCAGGCAGGCAAGGCAGGCGCGCCAGCCCGGCTCAGCCCCGGAGAGGAGCCGCTGCCGCCGCCTCCGCCTCCCACCCGCCGCTCGCTCTTCCCGGGGCGGAGATAGGGGAGGTGGCGGCGATCAAAGCCAGCAGGCTCCGCCGCCGCCCCAGTCCCGCCCCGCCCGCCGCCATCTTCCGAGGCCGCCGCCGCCGCGCACGCTCCGCGGCTCCCACCGCCCGGCTCCTCGGAGGGGCGGACGCGCCGGGCCGGAGCCCACGAGGCCGGGGTGGGGGGTGGGGGTGGGCGCAGCCTGAGCTGCTCTCTCTCCGCCTCGACGGGGCGGAGGGGGGAGACTCGGAGTGGGGAAAGGCCCGCGCGCTCCTCGTGCGCTCCGGGGAGGCGGAAATTGCCGGGAAGAGGGAATCCCGAGGGAATCCCCCTCCCAGCGCGCGGGGCTGAAGTCGTCTCAGGTCCGCGGGGGGGGGCACATTGACAACTGGGCGCCCTTTGGCCCTTCGACGGGCACCGGCGGGCGGGGTGGGCCAGCCCAAGGTGCCGCCGGCCCCAAGCGCCGGGGGGTGCCGGGCGGGCGTCCGGGTTGGCAGGCAGCGCGGGGCCGTCGGTGGCCCTCGAGAGCCTCGGCCCTTTCGCGACGGCCCTCGTGGGAAGAAACTCCCGCGCTTCGAGCCACGTTGTCGGGGGGGGGTAGATGTCCCAACGGGTTTCATCCAGATATGCCGGGTGGCCCTCTCCCCCGCCGTCCCAGGGGCCGGTATTCACCAGGGACGGCGTTCTCACGTGACGCGCGTCCCCAGAGCGGAGTCTCGCTGCTGCTCTGAGCCGAAGGGCAGCGCGCGGTGCGCGGATCCTGAGCTGCGCGTTGCCTCTCTCGGAAGGCAAAAAAGAGGAACTGCAACCTCGGGGCACTTTAGATGGGATGGGAATTCGGCCGCTAATTGCTTTAACCTCTAAATTAGATTTTGTATTATAATTACTTTCTCAGTGATCTGAAATCTGATGAAAGTTAAAAGGGCTGAAGGAGGTAGCATAAGTGCTGCAATTATCACTATCATTATTACCATTTATAATATATAATGGACTATGATCTATCAGAAACAGCTAAGGCGCCTGTGCTACACAACTAGCTTTTAGCAGAACTTCCAACACTTTCTTGATTATGCCACATTTGAACAGGAGCAATCCATGCAACATCTGTGCTGGTTATTCAGGAGGACATGCCTTTGCAGCTTTAGTATTAGCAACAATTCTAAGAGGTGTTCAAAGCACAGTTTTTCTTGCTGGGCAGACAAGAGGACCTGTGACCCTCTATTGATGGACATCATTTCCCACCACCCCAGACCATAGATGATGGGAATCGGAGTTTAAAAACCCAAAAAGTACTCATTAATGCTTCCTCGTGATCCTGGAGAAAAGTGACAATTAGGGTGCCGCAGGGTTCTGTCCTGACCCTGTTGTTCAACGTCTTTATAAAGGATTTGGATGAAGGACTTGAGGGGCTGCTCATCCAATTAGCAGATGACACCAAACTCGGAGGAGCAGCTAATGCCACTGAAGACAGAATCAGGATTCAAGATGACCTTAACAGTTTGGAGAACTGGGCACAAGCTGACAAAATGAATTTCAGTTGGGGCAAATGTAAGGTTCTGCACTAAGGCAGGAAGAAACCAGATGCACATATATAGGATGGGGGACACCTGGCTTACTAGCAGTACACGTGAAAAGGATCTTGGGGTCTTAAAATGGGTCAACAGTGTGACGCGGCAGTAAAAGAAAAAGGCTGGCGTTCTAGGCTGCATCAACAGAAGTATAGTGTCCAGGTCAAATGAAGAAATAGCCCCACTTTATTTTGCCTTGATCAAACCCCACCTTGCGTCCTGTGTCCAGTTCTGGGCACCACAATTTAAGAAGAATGTTGACCAGAAGGAAATTGTGCAGAGGAGGGCAGCTAAGGTGATCATAGAAGCCAAGCCTTATGAGGAACCGTTGAAGAAGCTGGGTATGTTTAGCCAGGAAAAGAGGAGAATGAGATATGATAGGCATCTTCAAATATCTCAAGAGCTGTCACATGGAAGAGGGAACAAGCTTGTTTTCTCCTGTTCTAGAGGATAGGACTTTAGCCAATGGATTCAAGTTACAAGAAAGGAGATTCCAATTGAATATCAGGAAGAACTTTCTGACAGTAAGAGCTGTTCAGCAGTGGAACGGTCTCCTTTGGAAGGTTGTGGACGCCTTCCTTGGAGGTTTTTAAGCAGAGGTTGGATGGCCATCTGTCAGGGATGCTTTAGCCGAGATTCCTGCATTGCAGGAGATAGGACATTTTGTATCAGGTGATGCAAGAGATCTATTATGTTAGCATATGGATGCAGTACACAGGGAGATGTGGCCAAGAAGTCTAAGATGCTCTTCAGCTTGGGGCCCCTGGATGTTGTTAGCCTACAACTCCTGTCATTTCAGACCATTGGCTAAGCTGGGGACCCAATACAGAAGAAAACTGATCTAAAGTCAAGTTCATATGTATGGATAAGTGTGTTTCCTGTTTGGTACTCCAGTGTCCCGGAAAGCTGTCTGTGGACAAACGCCGACCTGAAAAGCAGGATGAGCGCTGCACCCCATAGTTGCCTTTGACTGGACTTAACCGCCCAGGGGTCCTTTACCTTTTACTTCTCTGCTCCAATGTCACACTTACAGTAGGGAAATGTCCATTGTGAAAGGAAGGAAGTACGATCTGGCAAAGGAGAAACCCACAGGAATGCCACACCCTGGGTTGTGCATGCATGCATTGCACAAGTAAGGTAAAGGTAAAGGTACCCCTGCCCGTACTGGCCAGTCTTGACAGACTCTAGGGTTGTGTGCCCATCTCACTCTAGAGGCCGGGGGCCAGCGCTGTCTGGAGACACTTCCAGGTCACTCGCCAGCATGACAAAGCTGCATCTGGCGAGCCAGTGCAGCACACGGAAACGCCGTTTACCTTCCCGCTAGTAAGCGGTCCCTATTTATCTACTTGCACCCGGGGGTGCTTTCGAACTGCTAGGTTGGCAGGCGCTGGGACCGAGCAACGGGAGCGCACCCCGCCGCGGGGATTCGAACCGCCGACCTTTCGATCGGCAAGCCCTAGGCGCTGAGGCTTTTAGCCACAGCGCCACCCGCGTCCCTATTGCACAAGTACTGGTAGCAAATTAACAATGCCTTTCCATGTTGTGTCTGAAACAGACATCGCATATTAGGCAGAAGTTTGGCTATCGTTACCCACTTTCAAGACATGTCTAGTCAGTCCCTGGATGGATGAAAATCCACCCCAAAGCCCCATGCCTGTATCCCTGAGCTCCCTGGAGGAAAAGGGGGGGCTGTACGTAAACAGTTACCTGAAATGTGAACATTTAGTGGTGTTACAGGCACTGGGAATCGGCTATAACAAAGTATATTTCTGCTCTAATTTAACATAGCATTAAAAAGCATTTAGTGTCTGTTTTTGCTGCTAACTGCTTAAAGAGCATCACACATTTTCTTTGGTCGGTCTGGGGATTTTGGAAACTTCCATAACTTCTGATGACCACATGGAGCCTCCAGGGAATCATAGCACAGCCCTGCCATTCACAAGACTGGCTCATAGATCGCCTCTTTCACAGCTCCTCTGTAACATCTTTCACTTGCAGTTTATATTTAGATTTAAATTGAGAGTATATCTAACCACCTTCAAATCAACTGGGTGGGGTAGGAAAAGAACTGCAAAGCATTAATAAAATGAGTGCTTCTGAACAAATACTGCTTTTGCAAAATGTAGGAAGACTGAAATCAGGAATTTATGATAAACTTCGGGTGAAACTTTAGTGCAGGGGTAGGCAACCTAAGGCCCAGGGGCCAGATATGGCCCAATTGCCTTCTAAATCCGGCCCGCCGACAGTCTCGGAATCAGCGTGTTTTTACATGAGTAGAATGTGTGCTTTTGTTTAAAATGCATCTCTGGGTTATTTGTGGGGCATAGGAATTCATTCATTTCCCCCCAAAAAATATAGTCCGGCCCACCACATGATCTGAGGAATGGTGGACCGGCCCACAGCTGAAAAAGGTTGTTGACCCCTGCTTTAGTTCTAATCTTCCCTTATTGACTCTCCACATTCAGGACCGATGCTCAGTGGACATCCTTATTCACAGTCTAGGCTTACGTCATGCAACTGAGAGCTGAAAAGCAGCAGATGGAAGGAAGGGCAGTTCCCCTCCACTCTTCCTGTTCCTGCCCAGCTCCCAGCAGCAGGTCCTACAGACAAGGGAGCTCGCCTCATAGTTCCATCACCGCAGCAGGAGAGACGCCGGCTGTGGGTCTCTTGGTGCAGTCTTGCCCTCTGCTTGTGTCTTCGCTAACTTTTGTAAATGCCCACACAGCTCTCTCTCCCAGCCGTCCTCCTGGGAACCAAATCTGCAAGCCATCCCACAGGCAACCTCTCCCCAGCTCCCTAAGCCCTGTTATCTCTTCAGCTTCCAATGCCTCATCTTCCAGTCTTCTCTCTCTTCTCCCTTTGACCATTCATCATTGTCCCACCACCACTCCCCGGGCTCTGAGCCTTCTTACCTTGGTAGTTCCCTTGCTGCTTCCCACGAAAAAAGCAAATGTCATGGATTGATTTAGACGCAGAGGAATGGTGATAACTGAACTTATTCTTGTAACTTATGCCTGTAGCTGAAATTATTCTGTGTGGTTATGCTTGTGGCTGAAATGCTTATTGTTGTTTTATTATTTATTCATTTATTAAATTTCTATATCACCCCTCATCCAAGGACCACAGAGCAGTTTACAATATGAAAACACAAAAAAATACATAATAGTAACAAACACAAAAGCAATATTCCCCAGTTTAAAAGGCCATCAATTTTTTAATTACCTAAAGTTTAATGAAAATAGTTGAAATTCTTTTTTGAAATTCCATAAATACAGTGATACCTCTGGTTACATACTTAATTCGTTCCAGAGGTCCGTCTTAACCTGAAACTGTTCTTAACCTGAAGCACCACTTTAGCTAATGGGGCCTCCAACTGCTGCCACGCCACCACCACACAATTTCTGTTCTCATCCTG